GGGGGTGGTATAAATCACTGAGGGAACTCTCGTTAATATAACCGTATGCGGAAATGATGATAACTGCAGATACTGCATTTGTGGATGGGTAATTGCCACGGGCGTGACCGCACCGGGTCATACGTCACGTCACGTATTTACCATTTATTTTTTCCTCAACCGGACGTTCACGCGACAGCCGGAAGTAATCCTCGAAAAATACTCTCTAATTGCCCCATTGCATTCTATTTATTCATCTTTTCACCCGTGTCTGCCATTTTTTTTGTGAATAATGACCTGAAGAAGATATTTTTTGGATTTTCTTTCTTTGCCATGAGTTTTTAGATTTTTTAATAAAATTTTATGAGATTGATGACCGGTTGGAGTGATTGGACAATTTGAAGTTGGATTTTTATTGATCCTGTTTTTTTTTCTCAATATTCGTAATTATTAACAACGGAATCCATTAATAAACATAATTTTTATCATTTCTAGTTTTTAATTTCCTCCATTGTCCATTATTCGCGGAATTATTTTTAGTAACATTGTTTGTTAATCAGAATAAATAATACCCAAAATTATAATCCAATCATGAATTCTTCTCTTGCTGAAATTGTTGGATGGCCGGAGTAATAAATAATGGCACAACCTGTAAAATGTCGACCTAAAGTGGATTCCCAAGAGCTCTCGATTTCCAAGAGCTCTTCGATATATTTTCTCCAGAAAATTGAACAATCAGGGACGGATTGAGAGGGAAAGTCCGATAATTTAATCCCGTAAACTTTAGTCTCCACCAATATACCTCTGGTAGACGTCGGTGGTAGTTTCCTCACGCATAATCACCTGTCTCGTCCATCATAAATACTCATACGTAGTCGTGGATCCTCCGAGTGGAATATGCCTTGCCCACGCAAAACCCGTCGGACGTTCCAACGTTTCAACACACGCCCACACATTGGGGTCGGCTCGCTTTCAAAATGTCGTAAGTCAAATTGCCCACAGTGCACCGTTTCATCATTCCCAACCCTTTTTTTTTCTCCCCTTTTCTCCCTTCCCCCTCCGTCAATTCATTTTATATACCCACCTCAGTATCTCTCGGACAGACATGGATACCAAACAACTACACGGCACCGAGCGTGTACTTGAAACATGTAAAATCATCGTGTACTCTTATTTATTGGCTGTATCATTCTTGTTGTCACGTCGTTGAAATTATGAGGATGGAATGCGCGTAGATGATCTATGGAAACTTTTGGCTGGAGTGGATTTCTTCTTGTAGAATCATCTTCGGGGAGCAATTACCGAATTTTCCAGATATTTTCAATTTTTCCCGGAATCCCCAGAAATTTTACCAGTGGAAATTAGTAAACCACTTGCAAAAATAATGAGGGGATAGTAGGAGAGGCTGAAGGCTAAGACGAAGGGGTGCCTACCAAACCATGAAAATAAAACTATCGTAATACAAAAAAGAAAATATAAATTAAAAAAAATAGTAAACCACTTTTATTTTCGCGATTTGAGTGTTCCGGGAAAATTCTATCGAGTCGCTAAATTCTCAAGAAATGTTCTCTCAATTAGTGATAGTGTTAATTATAAGTAATTATTGGCACGGAGATAAGCGTATTGTTATAATGATTGGTGTGTTATTAAGGGAATAATTAAAATAACTGAAGTGATGAACAAACGAATAATCCATTTGTTTTTATTGACTTCTGTAAATATGTAATTCTCGCGAAATAATTAATGAATCCTTCGAAGACAACTCTTAATTAGACATTGTGAGGATAATTCCTCGAGTTATAAGAATCATTCCATACGATTCTACCCGTTAAATAGCAATCGATAGGTTAATAACCCATATGATTGCCGATCACGTATGACATGAGAGCTATCAACGGTAGATCATGAGATTTACGCACTGGAATTCAATAATGGTTTTACACCATGTATATGACAGTTGTTGATAAAAAATATTGAAACAGAGAAACGAATGGTTGTGAAAAAAAAAATGAGAGAAGAAACTAGAAAGTGCGATGGCCGCCTGGTGAACCGACAGATGTTTGAAACAAAAAAAAAAGCCATGGGATTCTTGAGAAAATTTTCCCTTGGTCTTCAAATGACCCCAGAAAATTCATGGTTTCCCATGATGATGCCGGAATTAGGGAACGGCCCGGCCAATAATAAGACGAGAAATATCTGAAATATAGGCGGGGGAAAATGTTTGAGCTCCCCACATGCCGTGGCCTTTCGACAACAAAAGAAATATAATTAGCTTGACTAGGTTCTGATGTGTAGACAGATAAGGCACACACAGTTGATACTCTGGGGTTCAGGTATATGCTCTACCATCGGATCGTGGTGGTGGGGAACTCTAATACAGGAATCGACATCCATAGAGGCACCATCCAGCTGTTGCCAGGAGAGGCGCGGTTCTCTCCCCCAGATGGGTGGGTCTAAAAAAATCATCTGAAAATGGCTCTTGATATTTAGGAAATGGTTGGGTCTCAATCCCTCCACCTCATCCACACACACGTCGATAAATATTTAACGAAATTTATTCTCACGTTTAATCGTTCGGCCATTCGCCATTTTTTTACTGAAAATTTGAGGGAAAAATTTGGGAATAATTCCATTGTCTATTACACTTGATAGTGAAATGAGTAATTTCATGACTGCCTCACCTCGGGATTTATGAAAAATTATCAAAACTTCCCGGTGTAACATGATCTCCGCTTAATCAAAGATTGAATCCCCTGGACTTAAGCTTCGACATTTTTCGGGTTGACTCTGGGTATCAATTTTCTTAAAAGAGAGTCTTGAAGAGAGAGAGAGATAAAGGATAAAAAAAAATGAAACAAGTAAAGTTGAAGGTGCACTTTGGTCACGCGAAATTCGCACAAGTAAAAGGCACCAGCTCCCGGGAGCCCTGACAAGGGGCTCTGAACGACGAGATAAGCAACTGAGAGAATCGAAACCCAACGGGGGAACGAGAGGGCAGAAAGAACCTGCTGGAAGAGACATATAACCGAATGAAATATCTTTCTCACTGCGTGAGTAATACAAATCTGGAACCTCAGCGTTCTCCAATCTCATCGTCTCTGTGTGCGTAACTTGTTTTCCCTCCTCAAGTCTGCAGCAGCAGTCGAATGAGTATCAGTCCCATGTACATATTAATCACGCGAATCGCTCGTGACGATCACCGAAAAAGGATAGCCCTTGCTGGAGAGAGCTCGTGAAGAAATATTTACCCAGATATATGCCTCCCTGAGCAAATACAGAAATTCACCCAATGAAAAATCAAATGATTGACTTGTCAGAAAAAATGAGAAAAATCCTCTCAACATACGTCACATGCGAAATATATTACGTGTATATTTTACTTGCAAAAATATTTTTTTTTCCAAGTTTAATGCAGTGGATTTCATTTGAACTTTTTTTTATTCACTTGGAAATTATTTTTAATTAATTGTCTCCACGGATTTAACTCATTAATTCAACAGAAAATATTGAATATATCAGATTGGGTCGAGTTGCATGATGAAAACAGATGGAGGGAGTATAAAATTTACGAAAACTGAAGAATATATTGCTCCATGGGAAAGCCTCGGAGTGAAATGCAATATTACGCGACTCGTGAAAAAAAGTAATTTTCGACGAGTGAGAATTACAGACCGACTCGAAAACAAGGGCTGTAATCACACTCATCAGTAAGTACATTTTTTACTCGTATCGTAGAATATTTGACGATGCTGGTGTGAAAATGGCACTTTTACGTTGAAAGTGTGGAAAAATATTCGGTTTCTTTCGCCAATAAAACAAACTAAACAATTTCCACATGAAAAAGTCCACCAATAATAAATGTAATAGAATACAATTATTCCTAGAACTATGTAGAACTAATATTAGATATCACATACCGAAAAAGGCCCATTGAATACCAAAAGGGAGAGATCGAGGCCGGCAATGCACGGCAGGATCGAAAGCAGAAGCCAACAGAAAAAAAAATGGTCAAGAAGAATGAGAATAAGAGTAGAAAGAACTTGAGGCTAAAGAGACTATAGTAAATTTCTTCTTGGGTGGTCCAGGAGCACAGTGGGCCCCTGTCGAGTCGCTGTGCCGCGCGCGTCACCTCGTAAGATGGGATTTTAAGGCCCCGCAATCTAACCCCCTACAAAATCCCCACTCTGCATTCGTTTCGATCGCCTTTAGCTCTCCTCTCTATTCCCCTCCACGACAATACTTTTAGCCCCTCTTAGATCCCTCTGTCCCCGCCAGACCGTGGGTCCATTCGGCCGCATTGGGCCTCAAGCCACTCCTGATCTCAAGTCCCCACTATAGTCCCACTTCAGCGTCGGGCCTCAACCACTCATTTATATGTCTGTAATTAGATAGCT